CGAGTAGCTTCAGTCTAATTTGCCTCTGTCGCATCACATGCGTCAGACCTCGTTATTATTTCTGATCGCTGCGGTTGCATTCAACCACTCCTCGTTTTGTCTTTGTGGGCACCTGTTGCATCCTCTGTGCTTCCCACTAAAACGAGCTAAACTAAGCAACTCATTTAAACAGTGAAATAGCAAAAATGCAGCAACAGAATCATTGATATCAGCTGCCCTCAGAATAGTTATTTCACTGGTTTAGCATTTCGACAAAACGTTTAGATTGGACTTAACGCAGTCTCATTAGCAGTTTAGGAATCATATAGATTTTATATAATTCCTAGGTATTTTAAAATCGAGGATTATGCGGATCGAGGTTTTTGTCATCCCATGGGTGTAAGCTTTTGACGAAACTTTTGCATAATTGCTTAAGCAAAAAATTGGACAAGCAACATCCAATTGGGTAAGCTGGGTTTGGCCAAAATTTTTTGACATCCGACTATCCCCAAGTAATGAATAATCTGATAAAAAAGTTTATTAGTACAAATTGCCTCTTCATTTGCATAATCTTCGTCCACTGCATGAAAGAACATCTGACGCGTTGATGCATGTAGCAGTTTTTTATGCGTAGGAAGGGCAAGGAATGGAAGAAGGTTACATCTGAATTCTACAAGAACTATATTCGAGCTTCTTTAATAGCATAATGCCGATATTGTGGAGTAGCTACAAGAATCGCTGATTCCTTTATTTTTTTCTTGAAATAATTTATGATAACGCATATTGGCATATGGTCGATGGAATGGAACAATCATGCTCATGCTATTTTCTTCCATTTGTAAATATCTTGTGAAAACAAAAAAAGAAAGAAACATTAGAGAGGAAGTGCAGCTGATGATTAACCGGAAGACTATGAGAATAACCGAGGTTGTTAATGAAGTTGGTCTAAGAAACATCAGATCAGCGAACCTGTTTATCACGTATGTTGAATCATCGCTCCACGAAATGAAACGCGATGGAAGATTTTCAGTCAACAGCAGAGCTCTCACTCCTCTTCGATTTGCTTATGACATTTTGTATTTGGGCAGGAAAGCAACAAAAGTTGTAATCATGCTCTTTGAGTGAAAGTTAAAGAGTAATCATGTTAAATTTCAAATAAGAAAAGTGGCAGTGTGAAGACGATGATGACAAACAACTTTGCACAATCACCTTTACAATGATTATGAACACGAACTGACAGAATATGTTTGCTTTTGACAGCTAATTGTGTCGAACTACGTCACTGACTTAGTACCTGATAGAAGGCGTTTTGCATCATGGAGTACATGAGTACAGATTGTTACTGACATTCCTGAAAGCAGAGAGTCGTCAATTGCGTTAGAAATAAGATATTAACCTCTGCTCTGTATGACTGCCAGAGTTGTGCATTAATTAGAAAGGTCGGACAGTTGTTATGAGTGCTACAATAGACTATGCTATGCAAAAGACATGCTACAATAGACTATGCTATGCATTTATTGAAGTCGCTTTATTTACGTTAACAAAAGTGGTTTTATCTTCCTTAGTGTAACAAGTGTTGAGTTATACGTAGGATTTCATAAATCTTGATGGTCGGCTTGTTTCGATCCATAGCTGGACGAAAGCCTCTGTGTAGTTTTTCGTTAAAATCCTGTCTTAGCGATTCATGTCCATGTTGCTTCAGCAAAATGGATACGAATCGCTTTCGTAGCTTATCTCGCCATCGATCTGGTCGCCTTCTTCGCACTATCCACTGGTTAGTGTCTCTACAACCCAGTAGAGTATCTGTTTTGACGAGGATTGATCAATTCGTTTTATAGCTGAACTGTTTGTTGCCATTTCAACTTCCTCACACTTGCATTGCAGGCATTGCAGATTTTGTGTACGTGTGTTTTCTTATCAGTGATTTGGTCATCCTATTTCCACCAGTGGTTCCAAACGTGCACCTCTGCGTGCTGCGTTGCATTGTTCTCTAGTTTATTCATAACGATGCATCTCGTCTTATTTGTTTGTTTTTATGTTGGTAATAGAAACATGCATTGTTTAAACATTCGATCGTCCTAAGATTGCACGAAGCTAATCTTGTTCATAGAGTTAAACTTTAGATTCGCTTCAAATGTTGTAAAAGACGATATAAGTGAAGAAATTGTTGTTTGGCCTGCCGATTCACCAAGGTAGCATATGGCAAACAATTTCTTTACGAACTTGCTTCTAGCTGTCCTAATTAATTGCGCATATAAGATGCAAGCTTCACTTTTTTACCATTTGTGAAAACCTGTATTGGCATTTTGTTGAGACTTGCGGAAAAATCAACGAAACTTTTGTCAACTTTATTTGCTATACCACTTTAGGACGTAAAGCCACGAATGGCTTCTTTGCTTAACGTCTTGAATTTTCAAAGAATGCTGGCTGACCATCATATGTTAGTAATTTTGCCTGACCATATTTTTTGCGACTAACATAAACTTATTTACTGCACCTTTTATTGTATTCAACGCATTTATAATTTCATACTTTAATTTTTTTATTAATTTATGTATCTAAGTCGTTTAATTCTGTTTGTTGCTTTCGCTGCACAGGATTTTACAGTTCAGGTATGGCAGTTTTTTTCATTTTTATTCTTATATGTCAATCCGTGGTTTGATTTGATGATGATGTGTGGTGTAGCAACGTGTCGCTAAATCAGCGATTCTTTTCAACTGTCGCCTTGAACATAAGTCGGGAAGCGAACACCATGCATGTTATTTTGTGTTATGTTGTTTTGACTGTTTTTGACTTTCGCTATCAACATTTCCCACAT